TCTGAAATTAGGAAGTAGGGTGTAAATTCTGCCTTTTTTTTTTTTTTAATTTTTAAGTTTATTCGGCCATGTTTTAAAGGAAAAAATAATGCAGTGATCTAATTTGGCCACTAGAGGGCAGGGACTGACTTCTGCTGTGTTCATTCTGCACTTTTTTTCTCTACTTGGTTAAGCAAAAATCTCATTAGTGCAACTGAAGTTCTAGCTTCTGAACCTTCTTTCTTTGAGATTTATTAACTTGAATCCTAAGAGTCTTTCTATTAAGTTGAGAAAACGGACATTCTCAATTCTTTTGATTATTCATTTGTAATTTCTAGTACCATACAAGAGGAGTTCATGCTATTCTGTTCAAACTCATGAAAACAAATACTTGGGAAAAGGCTGGGGAGAAATAAGATCACCAGCGTTGACATCTGCTAATTCTTGTGCGTGAAGCAAGGGATTTGATTTCTTCATGTCAGCTCTCATATCAATACACATGGGATTTCTTCTGTCATTCCATCACGATGTCAAAATTTTAAATTGTGATATAGCACCACTATCGACGCAGTTTTCATTTTTAAGCTCTTCTATTTTACTGTTTTATTTGCCTTATTTAACAATAATGTAGCCATTTGGCAAGAATAGTCAGTTCAAACATGTATACACAACCTTTAGCAAGAATGAATCAATCTGATACAGTGGCCATTGAGATGCTCACTAAACTAACATACAATTGTTTCCAAAAACCATTAAGAGGCCTCAGACAGGTGTCTGACTACACAAGAATCCCCGTATCCCCTGGCCTGGCATTTAGTGCCCTCCTCATCCACCCTCTTCTCTCCAGCCTTGTTTGGCATGAAGGCAAGGAGATGAAGCATGGTGGGCTGTGGACTAGGGGGGCCCTGCCCGCTGTTTCCACAGGAACTCTGTCCCTGCAACTTTGGTTACTGAGGCTGCATCACTCACAGTCTCAGAATTCCGGGAAAACTCTGTTCCTTTGAGCAGAAGCACAGATGGGCAGCTTCTAGGCCAAGCGCAGTCTGAAGATATTTGACCTCTCAGTCACTTGACATGGGGAGATTTCACCCAGAGGTTCAGCAGTTCAGCATTACTAGAAACCTGGCTATCAACGGGGTGGAACTGAGTAGCAGCTGCCCCCTCTCAGAGCCCTCCCTCAACTCTGGACATGGCCTCACATTGCCCTGTGGTGGTGTCTAGTCCCCTTCACTCCATTCCACCATGTATTTTGTTTTTAAGTTTATTTATTTATTTCTTCTATGAGTGAGAGAGATGGAGAGAGAGAGAGAGACAGAAACAAAGCATCTCCCCTAACACAGCCTTGAAGCCCCAAGCTTCAGCCAGACGTCTCTCCATTATGGCCACATGTGTGCCAGGCCTACTCAGAGAGATCTCTGGACACACACCTGGAACCTTCCCATAGGGATCAGCCTTGTGGACCACTGCATTTTACCTCTGCACCACCATCCCACACCTCCATCATTTCTATGAACTGTCTATTCACATACAGTATGAATGGTGGAACCTAGGGTTGAATAATGCAGCCCACCCCACCAGGAGGCACCTCCATGAATAATCCATGAACTAAGCATTTCTACACAGCTTGCCCCCAAAACCAGCATCAGCCCTGGGTGATCCCTTCATCCTCTGTTAGAGCTAGAAAGCATTTGCCGGTTATGTTGACTCAACATCTATCTGATTATTAAAATATATCTTTTGGGGAGACCAGCTGGTAGCATGATGGTTGAGGTACTGAACTCTCACATGGTTGAACACTGTCAAATCTTGGACCCAGAACCTTGAAAATCATGTTGGATATATATGCATGTGTGCCCAAAAACCTGAGAGGAGATTGGAGAAGAAGGGATTGCAACATGGCCATCCCCCGCTGGGGTGGGGTGTGTGTGTGTGTGTGTGATTTCTCACTTTCTCTCTCTCCAGCAAGTGCACATCTCCTATGACAAAAAGTCTGTCTTTCAATTTATACACTGTCAGTTTGGGGAAGGTAGAAGTTTGTCTCCCTTGACCTCAATAAGCAGGAATTTATCTTTTCTTTCTGTTTGACTCAAATTGACAATTGAACTTGGTTTGCTGAGGTCACAGGGCTACGTGGAGTGCCTGCAACCCTGGTGCAAGGCTAAAATAAGCTTGCTGCATCCACTCTAAATACACTTTCAGCCTGATACCCTCAAGACACTAATTCTAGCTGCCAAAAGGAAGCCATGTATCACTTCTTTTTTTTTTTTTTTTTTTTTTTTAGATTTTTTGCTGTGAGGCATGTGTGCTTGCCAGAGAGCAACAGAAAGACAGAAAACAGAAAACAAGAAATCTCCCCTCTTCCCCAGGGGGAATGGCCGTGCTGCAATCTCTTCTCTGTCATTCTCCTCTCAGGATTTTTTTTTTTTTTTGAGAGGTTTTTGCTATGGGGCGCGTGTGTTCACCAGACAGAGAGACAGAGAGACAGAAAGCGAGAAATCACCCCCCCAGGGGGGATGGCCATGCTGCAATCTCTTCTCCTCCGTTCTCCTCTTGAGATCTTGGGCACGCACGCACACGCGCCCGGCGTGAGTTTTAAGCCACCGGGTCTGGGACTTGAACCGCGGTCAGCTACGTGGGAGTCCAGCGACATAGCCGTTACGCTAACTGCTGGTCCCTCTCCTCTCAGGATTTTGAATATGTATACACACACCCCCAGTGTGAGTTTCAAGCCCCTGGGTCCAGGTCAAATCTCTGTCGGCCACGTGGGAGTCCAGCACCTTAACCACTCTGCCACCTGCTGACCCCACCTCATTGCTTTCATGGATGCTGGCTTTCCAGCCCCTCAGTTCTTTCCTCCAATAAAATGTTCTGTCTTTTTATCCAGAGTGCTCATTTCACCAGCTGTGACATGGAAAAGAATCAGGTTCATTCCTCACCGTTCTGTTTTCCTTTCCTCTTCTTGATTTTAAGTGTATTTATTTCCTGTGAGGGACTCACACACACACACACACACACACACACACACACACACACACCTCCAACAGGGTCTTTATACAGTGATCCAGCCCCAGCCCCACCAGCCTGGCTCATGGATATGTGCGTGCATGCCTGGTGTGCACGGGGTGGGGTGGGTCTGTGAACTTGGGACCTTTCATGTGGGTCTATCCTCAGAGTGTCACATTACCCCTCCCCTATTGTCCGCCCCCCATACATAGTTCTAGAAACCCAGCAGAATATAAAGAAAGATCAGATTCCCATAAACTCTGTTTCTAGAGCGTCTGACTTTGGTAATAAAGATGAAGAACTGAGGCACAGAGAGTTCAGTGACTCTTGACATCTCACTACTCGTAAGGTTTTTTTTTTAAGTTTATTTACTTCCTCCTTGAGTGAGAGCGACAGAGAGAGAGGAAACAGTACAGTCTCAGTGAGGTTCTGATGCTGTGATCCACCCCCCAGCCTCAGTCTTCACCAGCCCTGGATCGTGGTGTGTGTATTCAATGTACTCAGGGAGGTCTCCGAGTGGGGACCTTCCTGGGTTGGAATGCCTTGCAGAGGGTCACATTTTGCCACTGCACCACCATCTGGTTCCATTGTTGTTCTAATACCGTGAACACACATGAAAGAGGGAGAGAGGACCCCAGACAGAGTGTTGTCATACCACGGTCGCCTTCCCCAGCCCTTCAGAGCCTCAGGATACTGGCTGCGTACCCAGCACGTTTTCAGGCCAGTCCAGGGATTCAGGCCCACGGTTGGCCCTATGGCTTCCAGCCTTGCAGGGCCCTTGCATTATTGCTTCACCATAGCAGCCTGGCTGGAGCCAGAATTTGAATCGCAACATGCCTGGCTCTAAAGTCTGCATTCTTACCTACAACAGTCCGTTTTTGTTGTAAAACAGACAACTTCCAAATTTAGTGACTTACAACATCAGCTGCTTATTACTTTTTTTTTTATTTTAATTTTTTAAATTATTATTTTAGAGAGAGATTTTTGCTATAGGGCACATGTGCTCGCCCGAAAGACAGAGAGACAGAAAGAAAGAAATCACATTCTCCAGAGGGGATGGCCATGCCACAATCCCTTCTCCTCCATTCTCTTCTCATTGTCTTGGGCATATACCTGGCATGAGTTTCAAGTCACTGAGTCTGTGACTCGAACCATGGTCGATGACCTGGGTGTCCAGCGACTTAACCATTGTGCATCTGTTGTGCCAACTGCTTATTACTTTTCATGAGTCGTTTGGTCAGCTGGGGAGTTCTACTGATCAGGACCAGGTTCAGCTTCTTAGCTGGGCTCACACGCATGCAGCCAGCTGGGGGCTGCTTGGACTAGGCCATCCTGAGCCAGTGGTACTCAACTCTGCTCCACGCGGTCTCACATTCTCCATTGAGAAAGAGTGGGGAAGTGTGCAAGTGTCTTTCTAATCCTCTGCATGCATTGTTTGCTATTCTTTTTTTTTTTTTTTTTAGAGATTTTCACTATAGGACGCATGCGCTTGCCAGACAGACAGAGAGAGACATAGAGACAGAAAGCGAGAAGTCACCCCCCAGAGGAGATGGTCATGCCGCAATCCCTTCTCCTCCATTCTCCTCTCGGGATCTTGGGCACGCACGCACACGTGCCCGGCGTGAGTTTTAAGCCACCGGGTCTGGGACTTGAACCGCGGTCGGCTACGTGAGAGTCCAGCGACATAGTCATTACGCTAACTGCTGGTTCCCCTATTCTTTCATTTAACCGAAGCAAATCAAATCACAAGGTCAGGCCCAGAGTCCATGTGGGAGGGCAATGCCAAAGGGCACGGGCAGAGGGTGATGCAAACATGGGATCATTCACACAATTTACCGACCACAATCACAGTTCCCTGCTTTGCTGTTTTCACTCTGCTTTCCAGACAGAGTCAAGTTTGGTCTATTTCATACTCCCGATGAGCTGCAGAAATGCTGTAAAATGTCGCCTTGCTGATTAGGGTTGTTGTAGAAGAACAGTAAGATCTGTGGCACATGAAAGGATGTTTATGATTGTAGGCTGATCCCGGGGAAGCTCCGTCAGAGGCTCCCAGTGAAACCAGGACGACTCCAGCGGAAAATGGGGTGAACCACACCACGTCTTTGACACCCAAACCACCCACCCAGGCTCTGCACAATCAACCAGCACCAGGTAAGCAGTCTGAAACATGAGTAAGTGCCTTCGGTTCCTGCATTCCTCCTGCAGGGGTGCTGTCACGTAGTATATTAGGTTGATGGGACAGTCAGGGCACATTTTCCTATGTTTTTCCTATGCAAAAATGTGTCCTGACTTTCCCAACGACCCAAATTTCAGTTAACTGAAGCATGAAGTGAGGGAAAATGCCTAGATTTAGGAAGTGCCCCATAAATGCATAATGAATGAATTTGAGAATGTCCAGGGAGACTCAGAACTGCTCACCTCACTATGCTGATAACTCTGGAAACCACAGGGGGAAAATAAAATAAAATAAAATAAAATAAAATAAAATAAAATAAATAAAATAAAATAAACAAAATAAAATAAAATAAAACAAAACCCAGGTTTCCTGGGTCTTTGTTTAGGAATGGGTTATGATCCCTCCTCTGGCAGTTTATGAAGAGTTGTTCAGGGACCAGCAGTTAGTGTAATGGCTATGTCGCTGAACTCCCATGTGGTCGACTGCAGTTTGAGTCCTGGACCCGGTGGCTTAAACTCACGCCAGGCACATGTGCGTGCATGCCCAGGATCCCGAGAGGAGAAAGGAGGAGAAGGGATTGCGGCATGGCCATCCCCTCTGGGGGGGTGATTTCTTGCTTTCTGTCTCTCTGTCTCTCTCTTTCTGGTGAGTGCACGTGCCCTATAGCAAAAACCTCTCCAAAAAAGGAAAAAAAAAAAAAAAGAGAGAGAGAGTTGTTCAAGTAACTTATCGAAAATGCTGCTTCAGAAGCACATTGTTAGTCCACTTCATTACGTCTCTGTCTAGCGCACCTTTCCCTCTTCCTCCAACTCCCTTTTCAGTGGCCTTGCTTATCTGCCAGGTGCGAGGCATGTTGCTAAGTGCTTCATATGGATTATTTTATTTTCCTCTCCCACCCGACTTAGGAAAGTAGATTCCAGTATTGTCCCCTTAAACCGATGAATACTCTGCAATTTTGAGAAGATAAAGTACTTCCTGAAGGCCACAGAGCCAGGGACAAGTGAAGCCCGGACTGATACAATTTCCTACACTAAAATTCTTGCTTTTAGTTTCCCTTCTCCAGCCAAAGCCACACTCACGTCTCGTTTCTCGGAACAGCCCTTTGGTTTCTGTGCAGCTGATGTTGACATGTAATCGCTGCTGCTTCTGTGATCTCCCCTGTGTGTCCCATGTCCCCCGTAGATGGGAGACTTCCTAGGACGGGCTTCAGGCTGAGTTTCTTTTGTATTCTATGCAGTGTGGAGGAACAGCATGTACTTAACTTTTTGTGGAATTGGTAAAGAAAGGAAATAAAAAGGGGAAAGAATTTCCTTCCCTGAAGTGGTGGCTTTGCATCTCCTCCCTTCCTTCTCTTGATCAGGCATGGCACTGATAAGATCCATATCTTCTCCTGAGCTGAAAGAGTATTTCTCATAGGGGAGAGTGAGATTTAAAAAGAACAAATCATAGTTCACTCGTATCAGCCGTGCATGAGCTGAGAACTCTGCTTTTTTTATTATTATTATTATTTTATTTAGCATTACTTGCTTATTTATTTATTTAAATTTGACCAGACAGGGAATAGAGTGAGAGAGAGAGAAAGAGATAAAAAGTGAGAAGGCAAACCACCAGGGGTCTGGGACTCAAACAGTGATCAGCCATGTGGGGGTCCACCACCCTTAACCACTATGCCACCTGCCAGCCCCGAGGACTCTGCTTTCAAGAAAGTTGTTGAAAGTAATAGTAGGAGGATGACTTAATGATAAACAATAAGTAATATTTTTCTTTTTTTTTTTTTGGAGAGGTTTTTATTTTGTGTGTGTGTGTGTGTGTTTTTTTGCTATAGGGCGCATGCGCTCTCCAGAAAGACAGAGAAAGACAGAGAGACAGAAAGTGAGAAATCACCCCCCAGGGGGGAGTGATTGGGGCCACATCACAATCTCTATTCCTCCATTCTCCTCTTTGGGATCTTGGGCACACACACATGTGCCCGGCATGTGTTTAAGCCGCTAGATCTGGGACTCGAACTGCGGTCAACAACATGGGAGTCCCTCGACGTAGCCATTATGCTATCTACTGGTCCCTGTAAGTGACATTTTTCAAATAAAAATTTTTATATACCAAGTACAAACTTTTTGAGTGCTTTTAAAATAATAAATAACGGGACCAGCAGTTAGCGTAATGGCTATGTCGCTGGACTCCCATGTAGTCAACCACAGTTCAAGTCCCAGACCCGGTGGCTTAAAACTCATGCCAGGAGGGGAACCAGCAGTTAGCATAAGGGCTATGTCGCTGGACTCCCACGTAGTCGACCGCGGTTCGTGTCCCGGACCCGGTGACTTAAAACTCACGCCGGGCGCATGTGCGTGCGTGCCCAAGATACCGAGAGGAGAATGGAGGAGAAGGGATTGCGGCGTGACCATCCCCC